AGAGAGATGGTTGGCAAATAATGGCGAATTTGCCTTGGTGGTTCGGACGGATTGACGGTTTATAAAAATATTAATTCAAATTACAAAACTTAAATCAAAGAGTAAAAAAAAGACGAGAGATACCGTGATGTTAAGCATCTTGCGAAACTCTCTTCTGATGCAGCAAGTGTAGTAACAACATGATAATATCAACGACTATGCCATCAGTTCATTACAAGCATCTGTGGAAGCTACAATGATCAAATACAATACATAAAATTAATATCATTCAGGGTTTACAATATATTGAAAATGTTTACTGTTGAAAAGTATTTAGATTGAAAAGTGAGCTGATGTAAGTTTGCAACATGGCCAAAAAAAAAAAGAGATTGACAACCTCTAAAAAAAATGAACTAAGCATAGACAAAAATCCAACTCTCTCTCTCTCTCTCTCCCTATATATATATATATATGAATCAGTCCAGAACATTGAAAGAATCTCGGAAGTTTCCTCCCGCGGATCCTTCTCTGCTAAGGAATTTCTCTTTCTCTCTCTCTTTCTCGGTCATCAAACAGTCTTAGGGCATATATAAAGCGTAAATTTAAAGATGAAGGAGGGAGAAGTAGAGAATACAATTGAATAGAATGGGGCAACAGCAATCCAAAGACGAGTTACTGTATGAGAACACCATTGATGGAAACATTGAAGCTATCAAAGCTCTCCGCAGTCAAGGTGCAGGCCTCGAGGTACTACTACTATATTCCTTCCTTACATCTATCATCCCTGTCTGTCTCTATATATATGCTCTGGCTGCAAACGCTGCAATGCGTTTTCAATTCCACAATTATATCCATCTTTTAATGGTTTCGACGAAGAGATTAGCGAAACGATGATTTTTTTTTTTGGTTGCCAAAATAGGGGCGCGCGTGCACATGTATATATATATATACTAGGTTTGTTGGCCCGTGCTTGCAAGGCAAGTTGGGCCCATTTTTCTTTTTTAATTAAAATTTGTTTTTTTAATTATAAGATAGTTTTTTTTATTTATTATTATTTTATAGGAATATAGTGGAGTGATTATTTGGTAGAAGTTAAAGAAGAATGATTATATAATATTTATTGTTTTAGAGATGTGCATTATAGCATTATCCGTATATATATTTATTTATAATAAGAATGCAAATATATAGAAATATTAGTAACAATTTAAATT